GATGCACGAAAATCATGCAAGAGTAGGCCTTCCTTCCCCTGGCATCCGGGGCCTGGGGTTCCCTTTGGCACCGAATTCGTTTGGAAGGATGTCTGGTCTAATTAGCATATTACGTTTTTATTATTATAGATTCCCTATGATGTACTTAAGACATTATATTTTTATAAGACTCACATGCACTCATATGTGCCAGGTACTGGAGCAGTAATGCCACAAAATTTTTTTGTTTAATCTTCACAATAATTTCTTCTAGGTAAGTGCTATTATCCCCATATAACTAATAAGAAACTGAGGCTCCAAGATCTTAAGGAGCCTTCCAGCATCACCTAGCATCCAATCCTAAAGCCAGAATTCAAATTCAAGACTGTCTGACTTCAAAACCCATGCTCTTCTCATTCAATCAGGCTGCTTTTTCATAGAAAGGGCAGCCATTTGATCTCATTTCACAGATGAGGAAAAAGAGGGTCAAAAATGGGAAGGGGCTTTCCCAAAATCCCACAGCCAATTACAACCTAAAGTTCAGATGCCAAGTCTAATGCATTCTTTTTTCATTGTTGTTAATCCTCACCTGAGGATATTTTTCCATTGATTTTTAGAGAGAGTGGAAGGGAGGGGGAGAGAGACAGAGAGAGAAACATTGAGGTGAGAGAGACACATTGATTGGTTGCCTCCCCTATGAGCCTGGACCAGGGCCAGGGATTGAGCCTGCAACCTAGGTATGTGCCTTGACTGGAATCAAACCTGCAACCCTTCAGTCCACAGACCAATGCTCTATCCACTGAGCCAAACTGGCTAGGGCTAATGCATTCTTTATTTTACCACAGGATGCTCAAATAAGTCTCTGACCTGTTAATTATCATATTAACAGATATTTTATGTCTTACTGAAGAATTTCTAATCACTCTTCATTTGTTAAAATTATATAAAAATACCACCTGCAGATTTAAGTTTTAGGTCTATAGTACCTGAATATCTATGGGTATCCTTTAATAGCACTTACCACTTTCTACCTACTATTATAATTAAACTCTGTGAATTTAGTTAGAATTAGATACTATTCTGATTATACTTTTATTCACATTTGTAATCCCATAGTGCCTAGCACAATGTGTAGCACATGTAAATATTCAATATATATTTTTTGAATTACTGAATTTTTATTGTTCTTTACATTTGATGTTTTCAAAATGTTTTCTTGATAGAATGTAAGCTTCTTAAGGACAGATCTTTAATTAAATCTTTAATCTTTAATGCACCTTTGGCTTTCCAGTATTCTTAGCCCAACAATGTTTACATGATAAATGCTTGATTTTTACTGACTTAAACTGGATTGATTTGATAAATAACCTCACGATCCAAAAATGTGTTTATGTGAAAGTCCGACCGAAATATTGAAAAATAATACAGTACATTTAGAATATTTTCCTTGAAAAGAAATGAAGAAATTTGGGCTTCTGGATTCTTATAGAGGGATCCTTCCCTTTTTAAAAACCTGTAGTACTAACTCACTAAACCATTCATTTAGCACTTAGTATGTATTCTCTTGTAATGTTAGTAAATTTCATGTCTATATCTTTTTTCTTTGAGCATAATGTAAGTCCCAGAGCAAAGACTATAGTTATTACTTAAAGAAGCATGATTTGGTGAAAAGTTTTGGTGTCAGACAGAAGTGGGTTCAAATCCTAGTTTTGCCATCATCAACTATGTAACCTTAGAGAATACTGATTTAATCTCTGAACCTCAGTTTCATCATCTATAAAAGAGATAAAATATCTATCTTGCAGGGTTATTAAAAATTAAAAATAACATGAATCAATTGCTGGCGCATAGTATACTCTCAATAACGATGGCCAGTATAATACCTCTTTGAGTCCTCAATAATTAACAATGCCATAGATACTAGGTACATAGTAACGCCTATTGCTAACAACATTACTACATGCTTATCCTATCTAATCCTACCTAATAAAGATGGAATATGCAAATTGACCATCACTTCGAGACAAAAGATGGTGGTGCCCACAACCAATAAGGAGGGAATATGCAAATTGACACAACAAAGATGATGGTGGCCGGGCCGGGACACTTGTGACGGCACAGGTGTTCTGCCCCGCCCCGGCCGCTCCAGGCCTCTGGGCAGTACGAAGGCAGAAGGTGGCTCCGGGCCGGAGCGAAGGCAGTGCCAGCAGCCAGGGGAAGGAAGGCCTATTCTTGCACGAATCTTCGTGCATCGGGCCTCTAGTTAGGTCCATAGGTGAAATGATAAGACAAAAGCATACCTGTTAGATAAGAGGTAAATTGCTTTGGACCACAGCGAACAGCATAACGTGTAGTTGTTCTCACAGCTTTTGGTTCAGTCTGCAATGTGTCCGTGGGACAAAAGAGGGTTCCATCTGATGTTTCTCCCCACCATCTCACTCGGACAAGTACACAAGAGGGAGGCTTTGCAATCTTCCATATGACTTTACTAACAGTAAGTTTCAGAAAGCAGCGTAGCTGGCCTTCAACTAGAGGTGGTAGGCTTGTAGATGGAGGAATGTCACTCAAACCTGTGGAGGAATTCAAGAATAACAAGTCAAGATTTAGACTAAATACAGAAAATATATAATCTGCTTTTTGAATAAAAATACACAAAAACAGAGAGCAGACTTATCCTATCTATCCTAATAAAGGAGAAGTAACTAACAAACCAGACCATAGAATAGCCTATTTGGGTCCCTTAAGTCATCCTGGTAACAAATTAGTATTTAGGGTTTGATTCAGGTTATTATAAGAACATACTAAGTTAAGACATGCAAATCTCAGTAATTGAAAATTTTCTTCCAAGTACTGTTGATTTGATTATTGCAAAGTCCACAATTCTTAATGAAGACCACCTTAAATTGTCTATGTTTACTTTCCTGCCCAATATCATACAGTTAACGAGTACAGAGGTTTTATTCTTCAGATTCTACACTATTTTTTTGGCACAAAGTTGGGTTCGTAATATTTACTGGCTTTCAGACAAATAACAAAATGTAAATGAGGCAATTAATCATAGCTTTCTATAAAACTCTCCTTTAATGTTTCTAACCAACACTCAGAGATATAAGAAACCATTCCTACATCACACACACTTTTCTATTCCTCTGACTTTTCTCTTGGGGAGTGGGTAGGCCTCACAAGAAAATACACTGGAGCCTCTCAGATGAGATATCTATATAAATGCCTCTTCAGATTTCTGAAATGAACACCTTCTCTGTTCTCTATAGAAAAGAAAAAAAATCCACCATAATCTTTGTGGATAACTAGTTTCAATAAAAAAGTTATACACAGGTGTATATATGAGCATTACTACATATGTATATGGTATAGCGTGTAGGGCATTCTTGTGCTATTTCTATTTTGATTTTCCTATCAACCAAATAAACTTGACTGGTTTGACACAGGGAGCAGCAAAACTGACCACTTCCATGCTTCATCATTCCTGGGAGGAAAGGCACTGCCTCAAAACTGTTTAAATATCTGTACACGGTTGGGTAAGAGTCATTTCCAGCCTGCAGCTTCCGTCCTCACCCCTAATGTATGATCACTATTTCTATCATCTCTTTGCATGTAATGTAAAAAGGCAGTCACCTGATTTTTTGTTTGTTTGTTTTTGAGGCAGCCCTGTGTGTAGAGATTCAATTTCCAGTTTCCTGATATGCCCTGGGTTCTTAGGGTGACTGTTCTCACTGCAGCTAACATTTTCCTACTCTCCGAGGGCGCTAACCTGATGATAACCTCTTGCTACCTACACACTCTTCCATCATCTCAAATCCTTCAGAGAGCCTCCTGCCCTCATCCCCACCTCCACCCCACCTACCACACGTGTAACTCCCACTCCTTCCTCTCTCCCCACAACTATCCTTTCCCACTCCCGCCTGAAGCCCCTCATTCTACTAATACTTACTGAGTCCTTTTGTGCTACTTCTTGAGGACTCAGTGACGTATAAAGCAATGGCCCTTGCCTACTGGGATTATTGACATACTCCCCTCTCCAACTTATGCTTCGTCCGTCCTATGTGGACCTCCAAAGGTATACCCTCACACACGTTTAACTTGGTTATTAAAAGCCCGCCCAAGTCATGGGGATGTAATGCATGCCGCGGTGACTGTAGGGAACAGTGTATTATACATTTGAAAGTTGCTGGAGACTAACATAATGTTATGTCAATTATATCTTAACTTCTAAGAAGTAAAAGAAAAAAATCTGAATGTAGAAGCGTCCTCCCTGTACCCTTTAGCTCTCACTTCGCCCCATTTATTTGTCCAGTTTGCCGTCCCCACCCCACTCCAGCCCCTATTTCCTTTCCATTCGTTGGAGAGCCAACTGCCCTCTTTTTAAACCTGATTCCCTGGTTATTCTTCCCCCTCCATCTCCACTCCCCCCCCCTTTTTTTTTTACAGGCAGGTGTGGGGGTCTCCCTAGAACACCTTACACCCTGCTTCCCTAACTCCACCCTATTACGCTTTCCTCCACCTTCGGCCGCTCAGGTTACCTCCTTTCTTTCGGCCACGGCCGCCCCCAGGCCCCTGGCCTTTCCGTTGTTTCATGACGAGGCCGAACTTTTCTTCACCAACTCAACTGCGGCCCCAGCACCTAAGCCGTAGCCTCCCGCCATCCCTTCCCACCGCGCCTGCGTTCCCCGGCAACGGCGCCGCTGGGCAGCCTGGGAGGCACAAAGCAGCCGCTTTTCCTCTAACAGTTGGGGAAGCGGTGAGAAGGGAAGGCGCCAAGACTCCGTACCGCCAATAGACTGCAACACCCACGATGCTTTGCTACTCTACCTCTGCGGGGTTGGACGCGGTCGCCTCCAGCTGCGCAGGCGCAAAGGGATACATCCTTTGAGGACTCCATTGCCCAGAGTGCATTGCCACCAGGGGCGCTTCTCTTTCCGGCGAGGGCCGTGGAGTTCTCCGCTAGGGGTCTGAAGGGTCCGCAGACTCCGTTACCCAGCTTCCTTTGTGAAGTTTCCTGTTGCGCACTTCCGTTGAAACCGCCTGAAGAGAGTGGGTGGAGTTTACGGCGCCGGTGGTCGGTGGGTGGTGCTGCATCTTGGCTGGGTGCTGTCCAGAGGCGACTGGGAGCAGCTAAAGGGGCGAGCTGTGACCAGCTGGGCCGCACCTCGCCTGGGACTAAGCTTTGGCTCCTGTGTGACTGCGGCCTCCCCTTCATGTCCGCCCTCGAGAAGAGCATGCATCTCGGCCGCCTGCCCTCTCGCCCCCCTCTACCCGGCAACGGAGGCAATCAGAGCGGAGCCAAGATGCGAATGGGGTACGTAACCCGGACCCCTTCTTCTTAGAGGCCAGGCCTTGGCCGTTGGGGAATGGTGGTGTCTCTGGGCGTTTGGAGCTGCACGGCAAGGGAGGCTAAGGAGCGGAGAGAATGGTGGCGGCGGCCTGGAGACGTGTAGGTGGAGCAGAAGCCAGGTGTGGGCTCTCCGGGAGGCGTCAAGTTGATGGAAATTGGAGGACAGATAGGATTGAAGGGAGGAAGGAATAAGGCAGAGAGACTTAGGAAGCACCTACAGAGGAAGGGATGGATGGAGGAGGTTTGAAAAAAGGGAGTCCAGCGATGACAGAGGTGGGTTGGAAGCTGCCAGGGAGGGCGGAGGGAAATGGGGAATGACTGAGAGAAAAGTTGGGAGTCAGGGGAAGCAACTTGGGAAAGATTTAGGAGGAGTAGAAAGACGGTGAGAGCTAGATGTTAGAAAAGCTCTGAGAACCGGAGAACCTCTGAAGCAGGGTGAGAGAAAGAAAGGAACGAGGGAGCAGGTTTGGGTTCTAGAGAGGGTTCTCGGAGGTGTCAGAGGCAGACTCAGGGAGTTGGGAGGAAGGAGAAAGCTCTAGAG